TGTCCCCCAATTCGCTTATATCATGACCTCTTTATTCTCCCCAAGGACTTTTTACAGGCACACAAACCCAAATCCCTTATAATCCCTTAACCTTTAGCTCCCTTCCAAGTCTTTCACAGTGATTCTAATACATTCTCTGCCATTCATAGTTGCATTTGTGAATTTGCAGGAGGAATAAAAATTACAAGATAGTAACAGGAGATTGGATAATATTAAGTCAAGAAGAGATAAACCACAAATATGGAAAACATAATTGAAAAATTATGTGCACAAGTTTCTAAAATGTCTAAAATTTCCTAAAAATCTCTTCCCTAAAACTTATTAAAATTTCCACCCTATCTCCTCCAAGTCCTCTCACTGCACCCTAGTTCCCTCAATTAGCAACATTAGAATTTGAAAACACATTTAATGCTTTGTTCTCTTCTGGTTGATTACTATAGTAACCATGCTGTACTTTGCATACAGCCTGAAAAGTATCAAGGATTTCATTTAGAAACTGGGTTAATATACTATGGTAGACTATTATAAGAATTTGACCATCACTATGTCAAATTATTCCAGTGGGGATATTTGTTTCAGTGTTCAATTCACAAACTTTCTGAAACATAACAAATATGCAACTTGTTTATTTGAAACATGGATGGTGAGCATATCAAATTCAACAAGAGGGATTATCCAGAAGTTTCTAATTTGGTTGGTTTCAGTTATGTTGCTCTTCAAGATGACATATTCAGTGGGAGATTTTAAGTTGACCTGGGATTGGTTGAGGACTCAGATCTATAAGGTTCTTTCAGACACTGAGTTGTAAGGAAGAAAACAAATTACCTAATGATGTAACATATACTAGAATTTCATATACATTATTAGATTTTCCAAAATAACCTCACTGTTTTTAGGAAGAGAATTAGCCAGAGAGTTAGAAGAATTCCCTTTAAACCTCCCAAGCTAATAGAAAATGAACAGCTACAGCACCAAAATACTTTGCTCCTTTTTGATCACATCAAAGAATTTTCTATATAAACAGATTTTTGTTTATAGATGGGGGAAAACCTGTTTACAAGGTTCATTGGCATCATAGAACATATGTTAATCCATGATTGTCCAAAATTTCCTAAATAATAATTTTAAAGATCAAAGGCATTAACAAAAGATTAAAATGTCTGTTTCTGTGAATTTTCATGTCAGAAAGATAATATTTGACCAAAAAACAAAACAAAATTTGTTTTCAACTGGACTCACATGCTCACATTGCACAAAGAGAAAAAATTCCCATTTAAAATGTGTTGAAAATAAAAAATATAAGCTTTGTCAATAAGTGAATTTGGGTTTACCCAATTGAGTCACTACCATTCTATTTGCCCCAATGTATAGTTTTGTTTTGTTTTGGTGTTCAGGTCATACACGGCAGTGCTCATGACTGACTCCTAGCTCTGCAATCAGGGATTACTCCTGGTGGGGCTCAAGGGATCATATGGGATACCTGGGATTAAACCTGGGTAGGCTGCATGCAAGGCAAGTGTCCTACCCACTGTACTATCTCTTCACCCTCTGCCCCAATGTATTAATATTTCAATTTTTAAAAATATTGGCGAAGAATTCCAAGAATGTCCTTAGTTTCATGTTATTATATAATCAAGATGATTCAATCAACTTGAACATCACAATTAAGCCTATAAATCTCTATTAAAACACGCTTTCGAGTTATAAGATGGATCGTATACAATGAAACCATTGGTACCCCAAAACATACTTCTGCACAATAGCACTTAAGAGCTTGAATACAGGACTAAAAAAAAAACAACACTAAGTCTGATTCTGCCTGAATAGGGGGCAAGTTACAAGATAGCTCTACAAATAAACTAATAACCTGAGAAACCCTGAATAGATTTCAGTGATCTTTGAAGCCAAACGTTGTTTCAAACATTAATAATAATATATGACAAACAATAGAATCCTTGAGTACTTGTGCATATCTCATAGACTGCATGGCAGGCCTAGCAAACACTACTACCACTTCTTTTGCTCATCCTCTTCCCCTTAACATGCGTGCGACATCATAAGGCACATCATCCTGTGGCAACCTTAGAAAAGACACACAACTCAGTACTGAGCAGAGCCTGAGAATGCAGGCATCAACCAAGTCTCCCAAAATAAATTTTTAAGGTAAAAAAGTGCTTGAACTGAACCAAACTGTTGACAACTTGCTGGAGACCCTTGCAAAATGATTTCACTGCCTTCTGCTCTACCCCATGATCCTAGCCTCATGGGGAAGGTCACAGGATTCTGCATCTAAGACCAGGATTTCCCAAAGGCATCAAATGAATAGAGGCCATATCCTGTTCCATCCAAACAAGAACCCAGAACTAAACTATGAGCCATTCTGATGAATATTTGTTTATTCGTGTTTTACACAAAGTGGAGAAGTGGCTTTGAAAAGTAGCCATGGCAAAGTTTTTCCTGTATAGTGGACATGTTAGCAAATAGAGAAATCAAAACACACATTAATGCAAGGAACATAGGAGTTCTCTCTGTAGAACGGGGTCTGTGTGCATGGTAATGTGGTTGAGTGTGTAGGGCAGGGGACAAAAGACAGAGAGGAAAGAATTATCCTTGAGAAGAGACAATTTTGACTATTTAAATATTCTGTGAAACATTTCAGAGCCCACTGGGGTTTCAACCAGAGGCCAGCCAATGCCAGGATTTGAGCGTGCCTGGTAGGTGGGTGTTTATCTTACCAAGGTGATCACAATAGAAGCTAACATGCCCTAAAGATGAACTAACTAGAAATAATAATAATTTTGTCATGCCTCCTGAGTAAGAGTAATTCAGAGGTGAAATTCTGGGCTGCAGCTTCAGAATCATGTACCTATGCTCAAAAGACTGACAGCAAAATTTGGAGGCCATTTGATAGACAAATTGATCTCTGCTTCAGTTTTCTACCTACCTTTGTCAGGTCCCAGGACCATGACTAGGTCATGAAAAACATTTAAGTAGAGGGGATATAAAATGACTAGCTGTGTTTTAATTCTCAAGCCAATGGAACCACCTGTCTCATTTCTTTTGCATAGACCTGATGGAAGGAAATCCAGTATCACCTCTAATTGATAACAATGCTAAGATGACACCCTTCATTGGATGTATTTGACAAACCCAGAGTGCTTGTTTTAATTCACCTCCTGACACAAGTCTTTGTTCGAGTTCTTGCTCCAGTTTGGGCAGTTCCAGGAAGCTTATTCCAGGGCTCCTAACTGGGATGGCACAATAGTCAGATACCAAAATTTATCACTGAAGAACATCGACACATGTTATTTCTCTCCAAGAAGAAATTGAAAGTCAAGAAGTAAAATGAAAGAGTCTCCACATCCCTGGCTAAGATTAAAAATCGAATCAGGATGTGCTATTTATTTTTAAGAGATTAAGAGATGTTATGTGAAATTTAGCTGGAGAGTAGCTCTACAAACAAGGTCTTTATTTTTTTTCCAGGAACAGGGTAATCCACATCAGCTTTTAATTGAAAAGTACATTAGTAATACTCTTTCTGTTTGTCTTGCCTTGTTATTCAAAGATGAAATCCATTTTGAATTAATGAAAATGATTTAATCTTCGAGCATTAGTAATCTCTCCTTAGGTCTCTATTTAAAGAACTAGCTGGAGAACCCTTTGAAAACAAGATCAGGCTCCCTAACACAATGATATTCAATCTCTTTTTTATGGTTTTCCCCCCTCCGAAAATCTGTGGGCCATGACTGTAGAATTCTTCACTCCCCAAATCACATTACCAGTGTTTGACATGATGACAGAGAGAGCAAAAAGAATTAATTTCTCCCAAGTAAGTCTAGGCTCTACTGTTGGGTTTTGTTTTGTTTTCCTTTAAAACCATCCTGCTCCTATTCCATTTTGACACATTTCTAAGGCATGTTTGAAGCCTCTAAGGTCGACCTTGGACTAAGAGGTAGTCTCTCTGCCATTTTCATGGCTGATTTGACACTCATTATGGACTCAATTGTGCATTGTGAAATCCAGGCTGGGGACAAATTTCTGCCTGTCATCTTTGGAAAGGCCAGGAGTCTTGCACCATCCAATAGTGTGAAAACAGAGAATCAAAGCCTGGGTAGGCCTACATCTTTCTTAATCAGCTGGATGATTTTTAGGGAGGTCTTGGCTGTCCTTATCTCAGGCTTGAAAGGGTAATTTAAAATTTAGTTTAAACAACATCTCTCCAGGGAAAGTTCCTCCTTACATTTAATACTGGATAAAAAAAAAAAAAGAAAAGAAAAAAAGAAAAAGGATAATCATTAAGTAATCATTTGCTGCTTGGCTACAGAACATGAAGAGGGGAAGGCATTTAGAAAGCACAAAATCCTTTTTTTTTTTTAACCTGATAAGACCCTGATTCAGGAACCAAGAGGCCCCGGATATTTTCCTTATATTGCTCGCTCAGTTGCAAAGACATTGCTATAAAACTATATCCTCTGAACCAAATTTGCTGCACCTCTCATCCCGAGACTTATTGCAGAAATTAAAATATTTCACAAGCATTTTAAACGTCTCCAAAGAGTTCACTGAAAATGACAGCACGATTACTTCTGTCAATGACCTCTCCAGTCTAATGTCAATTTCAAGAAACCAAGTTTCCATTGTAAATGTTTAATCAGTGTAGTCCCAGGAACCTACAGCAGAAAACCTTAATCTACTCTCCCAACTTATCTGCTCAGCAAGCTCTTTCCTCGCTCTATCTCAGCTCCAGTGCAGACACTTTAGGGGTTCCCCCCCTCGCCCCCCAAAAAAGAGCTTGGAGCTATAGGTTCTGAGCTTAAACAGGAGCGCTGTGGTTTGATTCCTTTAGTCGGTCGCAGAGCAAGCTGCAGCCTTCCTGCTTGCAAATGCTGGCGACAGGGTTCTAGACCTGCCAGAGATACCGGCAGCACCCGTTCTACAGCAGCTTCTGCCCGAACCGTGCCCGAAGCCGGGCGACCTAGCACAGCAGAAAAGCATCCTACCTTCCATCATGGTGGCAGAATTGCATTCCTTAATTTCCAAGGAGTCTGAAAAAACGCAGGAGGATACGATCCCAGCTCCCAGCCAAGTCTTCAGCACGCTGCGGCAGAGAGGCGCTCTCGTTTGCTGCCAAAGCCAGAGGAGACAAGTGTTAACCCCCGACACAGGCCATGGATGCTGCTGGAGCCGCTTCACCTACGGGCTCCCGGGAAGATGCTGCGAGAGAAAGGGAAGAGAACGGCGAGCCGGCAGAGCTGCGCCGCCTGCGCTGCCTCGGCCAATCCCTTCCGCGCTGGACCGCGTCACATGGTAGGCAGCCTGCATCTCCTGACACAATACCCCCGGAGAGAACCTATTTCCCGGCCCGGTCCTCTCCAGCCCGGCCCCTCCCGCGGGGCGCCCCTTCCCCACCTGGGGACGCGCGCGCGCCCCTCCTCCGCGGCTTCCCAGCCTGCTGCTTCCAGGGGGGTCCGGGATGCACGATCAGACGCTGCCACCTTCCAGGGGGGACTCGGGCACGAAAGGAGCCGCTAAGCCACTCGCCGCGGAGGGGATGTGTGGTGTGTGTGTGTGTGTGTGTGTGTGTGTGTGTGTGTGTGGTGTGTGGTGTTTCCTTTTAGCAAAACTTCTCAGGAATTCCATGCAGCCCGAAGTCTCAGCTGCACACTTGAAGCTCCCTTCCCGTTCCCTTTGGCCCTGCAGGAATTCCAAACGTGTCTGTGGCCTGTGAGCACATCTGTGACTCTCTCTCTCTCTCTCTCTCTCTCTCTCTCTCTCTCTCTCTCTCTCTCTCTCTCTCTCATTCAAGAAGGGGGAAAAAAATCAATTCGGCTGACGTCACCTTATAAACAATTATCCCCCAAAGGATGATGCAGAAGGCATGATGTGTCCCCCCCTCCCCGCTGCCTTCCAGGGAGCCACCGCGCCCGCCCGACGTGCTGAAGGCTGGAACTGTCATTAAAACAAAGAAACAAAAGAACCCACCCGAGGGGGTGCTCTGGAAGCCAACGGGCAACGCTTGAGCTCATTTCTGGGGCGCGAGGCGGGAGCACGGGCAGCGGGCCGGGAGCCGAGGCCTGGCGGCGGCGCGCATCGCCGTGCCCGCGCCCGCCCTGGTCCCTGGACCCCGCCAGCGCGGGCACCGGCCACCCCGAGTCCTCCCCGCCCCGCGCACACGTGAGCCGCCTCACGTGCCCAGGTGGAGCGTAGCCGCTGCTGCTCCCCGACACCCCCCCCACCCCAGCACTTCCTGCGGGAAACCAACTTTCCGGCGCCCGACGGGCTTTTGGGTCCCCGCCTCCCTGCAGCGGGTACCGCCTGCAGCACCCCGCAACCACCCCCGGGGCTCACCCGGGTGCAGATCCGCTGCGGGCCACAACCCTGCGCGGGGAGGTGGAGCCTGGGAGCTGGGTGCCGCGCGGCTGCTTCTGTGGGAAGGGGTCGATAGGCCCTGGGGAGGGGGGGGAGGTTCTGGGGCTGAGACCCCCCCGGCTCCGAGTCGGCTCTCCAGGAAGCCCCTAGAACTGTTTCTGACAGATCAGGGAAGGGAGGACCGGCGAGGAGGAGGAAGGAGTTGTGCAGAAAGGGACCATCAGCCAAATGGCATTTTCTCCTAGGCAGTGGAGCAACAGGATGAGAAGGAAAGCGTGTCTGTACAGCTGCACTGAGCACCGAAGAAGCCCCTGGAAGATGCTTTGCACCGACCAGGTTTGGTCCTCGACGTTGGAAATAGAACTAAGGGCTTGGGATGTCCGCTCGCTCCGTACTGGAGATTAAGGGCCGATGCGGGTGGGTCTGGAGTGGTCAGCCCTGGCGCCCGGAATTGGGATCTGTGTGCAGAGAGGCCAGCTGGTCACTCCGGCATCCAACTCACGGTCCCTCGCTCTTTCTGCCTGCAGAAAAGTGAATTCTGGGGGCTGAGGACCACGAGGAGATGTCTCTCAAGAAGCTGCCTGAAGTAGCACATTAACCGTTAAAACCCCAGACCTCTCAGTTCCTTAGCAACTCAGACTGTTTGAACTCATCGTTCTCCCGAGGGATACATATTTCCATGGCCTCTACATTTCAAAATGTGTCTCTCCAGGGAGAAACAAATACTTGCGCCTTTTCTCTTCAGGACAGCAGCTGAACTTTTCAAAGAGAGAAGCCTTTCAAAGTAAAAACCTGACTTGAGTAAAATCTTCCACTACTCTAAACCGTGCAAGGGTGAGAGGGGGCGCGTGTGTGCGCGCGTGCACACATGATTTTATTTTGTAATGGCTTAGCCTATGAATAAATAATGGATAAATAACAACTGGGATTGAGTTCTGTCTCTGCCAGGCAAATGAGCTGAGTGTCCCTTGCACGTTAGGCAGATGTCTGTGCCACACAGGTTCCTTATCTGTGAAATGGAGAGAGCTAGAGATAGCAGTAATAACGGGTCCTGATGGGTACCAGGGGCCTCCTACCAGAATTCTAAATACATTGTCTGTAAACTTAGCATTGTGTCAGGAGCATAATATTCCTCCCACATCAGCTTCTTTTATATTAGTGTCACTGGTCCAAAGCGTTGCCAAAGACAGCAGTTAGCAGCCTGCTGAAAGTTCTCCCTCTGGCTAGAGCAAGAGGGAACCAAGTGAAGAAGGAGATATCCAGGTATGTAACAAGCAGTTGGCAGAGACAGCTATGGGGAAAGAATTCAAATCAACCATTCAAATCAACCTGAAGTTAGGAAGGTCCTTACATAGATGGAAAGCTAGGGTTTTCCCAGTCCTTAAAAATGCATCAGACAAAAGGAGTTCTAATAGAAAATAATAAAGAGGCCCAGAGAAATCAGAGGGCAGGACTTATTTCCCTATGTAAGTACCTGTGTGTTTCAGCAAAGCTTCCTACTGGGATTAGCATGCAACCCAACCAAGTCAGTCTTCTTATAGATATGCAGCCAGGCAATTGGCTGGAGACGGAAGATTTCATGATTCCTTTCATCCTTGAGTGCATAGGACAAGGAAACTAGGCTTGCTAGAGACAGAATGTGTCCTTAAAGATAGTAACTTTAACACTACTGGTTTAAGTTAATGTTAATTTATCAAGAAGATCTTATTGCCAATTGTCCACAAAAGTCTTCCTATTCAAATAAAATATTGCTTTTGTATGTTATCAGGAAAGCAGTAGGCATCCTATTTTGGCTCTTCATCAGTTCTTTTGGTGTGGGAAGGCTTTTCTCAAGAATAAATGCAGTATTGTACCTTGTGGCCTAAATTTCACCACTTCATATTTTTGTTTACTAATACATACAAGGGAAAATTTTGAACTGCTAAAACAAGGGAAATTTTTTTCTTCAAATTTTTTTTTTTTTTTGCTTTTTGGGTCACACCCCACATTGCACAGGGGTTACTCCTGGCTCTGCACTCAGGAATCACTCCTGGCGGTGCTCAGGGGACCATATAGGATGCTGGGAATCGAACCCAGGTCAGCTGCGTGAAAGGCAAACGCCCTACCCGCTGTGCTATCACTCCAGCCCCTTGTCTTCAAGTTTTGAATGGAAGTCAAAGGAGCATGGGAGAGATTGGGTAAATTGTGATTTGCATCAAGGTATAAGAAATTAGTTCAGGAGAGTTTATGTCCAAATTACCAGGCTCTAGACAATGGATTGACAATGAAATGACTAGACATTAATTTTTTTGAGATAGCATTTTATGGTGGTCATGCCCAGTTAGACAAGAACTTTTCAATCAAATATTATATATAATTATTTGACATATAACATATATATTATTAATCATTCACGTGAAGTAGAACTTCTCATGACCTCTCAATTTTAGCATTTAGGGGGAAATCTGTTCTTATTCCAGAAAGAAAAGAGAAGAAAGAATTGAGTCACGAAAAAAAATAAACAGTGAAAGTTTGGTCAAGATTTATATTTGTAAATCTGAAATAGTGACAGCCTACATCTGACTCTCCCTTTTGGTATTTCTACTGTGGCATTTCAACTTTAATGAGAGAAAAAATATTATTTAAGCCCTAGAAATTAGTCATACACCCACTTGCAGAGTTAATTTTTATAGAAGAAAATAGATAAAAGAACAAAATATGTATATGTGGTGTGTATGTCCCCTTTACTTAATGAAATGAAAGCACAGTGGGTAGGGCATTTCCCTCACACGTGGGTTACCCGAGTTTGATTCCTCCGCCCCTCAAGGAGAGCCCAGAAAGCTACCGAGGGTATCTTGCCCTCACAGCAAAGCCTGGCAAGTTACCCATAATGTATTCGATATGCCAAACACAGTAACAAGTCTCACAGTGGAGATGTTACTGGGCCCACTCGAGCAAATCGATGAACAGTGGGAGGACAGTACTACAGTGCTACCGTTAAAGTAAAGAACTCCAACGGGAACTGATGTGGATATAGGGAATTCATTGGGTAATTCGAAGAATTATATAACGCTGGATACACCGGTGGAACCCCCGATTCTCTAGGAAACGTAGCTGCCAGAACCAAGTACTTAAATTTTCTCCTAGAATCATTATTATTTTTACTTATGCATTTAATTATTGATTTATTGTGAATTGTCATGTGATTCAGGGTTGAGTTTCAGGCATATAGTATTCCAACACTGAATTCTTCATCTCATACTAGTTTTCCTTTTGGGGATCAAGAAGAAAACAGTTACATTTCCCTCTTCACAGCTCCAACATCAAGACCACTTTAAAAAAACAAACAAACCAAAAACCTAAGGAAGGACTTTGATTGACTTGGCTTGGATCATTGCTCACCCTTGTGACCCATCACAGCAGTGAGGCTGATGAAGTTCCAGATGAACTTCATTAAACCAAAATTGAGTAAACGGAGTGACACATCCACTACTGAGACACAGCAAGGGCGGGGGTGGGGTGGTGGGGGCGGATAAGCCAATTTCCAGGACAAACAGTTCTAAGAGTATGATGCCCCTGACAGGATGGGAAGGGTAGAAGAAAGGGTACTATTAGCAGTACGAAGGGTGAAACTAAGCCAACCACGATGTTCAACACATTGACGTTACTGAGTGCACGTAAGAGAAACACACAAAAGGGTTCATGACTGCAGAGATTCAGCATGCTACACTCATACCATTCAACCTCCTTGAGAGAGTATTTGTACCTTCTCACTGCTTAGAAACTTACATCCTCCTTCTAACCTTTGGAAGGTGAGAGATTTGGCAAGGGGAAGGGGAAAACTATACCTTATATTCTGCCCTCAAGAGAACTTGGGAACTTACCTCAGCTAGAAGCACTGCTAAATCTAGGCCTACATTGAAAAGATGAGTAATAGAGACTGAATATCTGAGGGCCAGAGTGATGGTTCAATGGGTAGAGCACTTGCTTTGCAAGCGTTTGACTTGGTCTTGATCCCCAGCATCACAGATGGTCTC